CACCTCCGTCCTCTACCACCTCTGTGTTCTTCTCTCTATTTATTTATCTAGCCCTCTCTTTCAACCTCTCCGTTTTTCACACCCTTTGCGGCCTGTTCCCTGCTCGTCCTCGGAATAACGACACAAGGGGAATTCGACGACGATATTCCATTTCGCGGCCTGTCGCTTGTAAAATGCGACTAATCTTAAAGCAAACCCTCTTTAACCCTGTCGGTCCAACTAAATTAGGCGACGATAGCCTATCAAAAATTCACGATCTGTTGCTCGACACGAGTTTTCCATTCGACTCCGATTAAAGCTTTCACGTATCGGATGTCCAACTAACTTAGAGAAGATTGTTCGCGAAAAATTCCGCTCGTCACGATCTCGTAAATACATCGAGACGAACGAAACGGAGCGCTGCACGTAAATGACGAGAATCGAGATGCTCTGAAAAGATGAATCGGTTGCAAAGCGAGCAGATTGCAAGAAAAGCAGAACTCGATGCGTTTGACGTTCCCCCGTTACCAACCACGGAAAGAACCAGATGGGATCCCTATTACCGGCTAAAAATATTACTACGTTTTCTCGCGCGATCGGCTGCCAATTTTTCGAAACATTCTCCGAAGAAAAAGTACTTTTGTTCGTTGCATAGTTTTCTCGATACTATCGTTCTATAGATCGTAGATGTTTGAACGTACGCTTAGCGTGGTTTTGTTAGCGCGATAGAAAGAAATGTAATTGTTCAAACGGATCGATGTTCGACTTGATTGCTCAATTAAAGAAATCATCCGAGCTCGTTAACCCGAGACAAGTAAGAAGGCGAAGAAGAAACGGTCGGCGGGCAATTACGAAACGTCAAGATACGCTCGTAGGAAAGATAAAGTTGCTTTGATGGAAGCCGACGACGAGTAGAGAGGCACGCGTTGCTGCTACTTCTCGCATTTCCCAGTTCTGCTATTCATATTACCTGGAATTTCAATTCCGAGGACCTTTTGCGTTTCGCTTTAATTAACCACGATGCCTAATATACGCGTCCACGACTGGTTGGTCTGAAAAACTACCAGAAGCAAGTTTTTTCTCGGGTATAAGGATACCCGAGGAAACGAACAAAAGAAACAAGCCGGAGGAATAACTACGCTGCGGCCCTTTCTCTGTGAAAATTATCGCGCACTAGGGAAAGTCGCGTTACCGGGAATCTCGACAACAGAAAACGCATTCGTATTCGAATACGAGTAAGATTTCGGTCGTTTTCCTCTCGATTATTTCTATAGGTTCGCGATGAAAAATATAATTTCCAGATGTCAGGGAAGGAAAGTGGTTTAAGTAAACAGGAAGAGGCGCTCGGAATTTCGAAAACTAAAAATTGCTCCACCCACGCCACTTGTCACGCGTATAGTGCTTCCGGTTCTTGCGGCAGTCCTCGTCTTTAAGAGTTCTACACTCGGCCACGAACGTCCACGTCTACTTTTTCCTACCGAATTCAAACTCGCGTGATGCCAAGTCGGACCAACGCAACAAGGGAAAGTAAAAGAGATCGTACTTTCGTGAGAAGCGCGAACCGCTAACTGATATTAAAATATGTGTATAATCTAATGCGGGTACCGTCTAAATTCGAATAAATGAAGGTAGAGAATAAAGAGAGGAAGCGAGGAAACCGACGACCATACGATTAAACGGTCCGTTTACGGGAGGAGGAGTGACGATCTGCACCACCGAGTGCATCATTTTTTCCCCGATTCCGTTGGTTTTCGAGCGCAGCTGGTACGCCAGAAAGGGAGCAAAGCGAGAGACTCTCTCGGTTCAAGCTAAAAATACCTCTCCTCTTTACCTACACCCCCTTCGCTCTTGGGCACAGCCTGAGTCTTCTCTTCTCTTGGTCTCTTCGTTCCTCGTCTTGCTCGCCACTCGACTCTTCTCTATCCCTCGTCTCTGTCTTTCCGCTTCTCGCTGCTCGAAACCGTTGCTCTACGGCTATAAATAAAAAAAATAACGAGAACACCGTGCGCGCTGCGGGTGTCTCGAGAGAAGAATAATTAGAAGCGGCCCTTGGAGCATCCGCAGAAGAGAAAACTCTCCGGTGCAAAGCGTTCCGCCTCTTTCTCCTCTTCGTCTTTCTGCTCCCTGCGTCTTTCCGCCCCGACCGAGCGTTTCTTGTTTCTTCGATCCCGCCATATACGCGATCAGTCTTGTTGCCATAATTTCATTCGGTATTCATCTCCGAAGATAATCGGTCGTTAGAAGTTGCGTCAAGTAGAAAGGCGATAGATCTACGACTCCTACATTGCACAACGTCGCCGAAAGATTAACAGAAATAGCGGGAAGAAACGTTCGAGTTTGAAGTACCGCTATACCGGTTGAATAAAGGTTGTCGATTCCAACGATGTTTCATTAATTCCCGTAAGCTCTCGCGTATTTCTGGTGGCTCGATTCGCGACGAAACAAAATCTCCGGTAATGCAAAAGCTGTCGGACTTTATCTTGCCAGGACAATATCGAAGGAAATACGGAAATAGTGTACGTGACCGTGGATATTTCCGCTTCAATCCCGATGGCATTAGAGGCACGCGCGCTAACGCTCTTATGTTGAGCAAAAACAGAGTACGGAACACGGCGAGGTCGACGAGCGAGAAAGTAGAAATAAAGGATAAAATTCGTGTGTAGGAAGGCGAACAGGGGAGGCGAGCGGATAAAACCTGTAGGAAAAAATCGAATTAAGTCCATCCGACCAGGGATTGCGCAAGGAAAACAAGGCGAACGTCGCTACCGATTTTACGATTTTTCTGCTAGCTCCGAGAAAAAAGAAAAAAAATGTTAGACGAAGGTCGGGTGACCGAACCGACCGATCTGGATGCGAATTCCATTCCATTAGTCGGCCGTTAACGATCGAACGTGTTCGTTCGTCTGTATACCTACGCAGGATATATCCTGGGAAGGTCGCTTTTCCTCCGCGTGGATCCTCCGTGGAATGTCGAGGGAACGAGGAGGAAGGAAAAGCTAGCGTTCGATAGAAAGGGGGAGATTCGTACGACGAATCGCCGCGCCGCACTCCGCCGTAAAGGATTTTCGATTACGTTTCGCTTCGGTTTCGAGCTCGCCGTTCCTTCTATGCTCGTTCAATGTTTATCGCCAGCCACGTTCTTCGCACCTTCTCGACCAACGAATCCTCTTTCAATTCCTGCGGCCAATGGCCGATCCCTTTTAATCGCGCGCGTAAACTCGTCGACGCGGAGATCGAGGAAACGAGATTTACAAGACGGGACGCGACAGTAGTCGTGACCGTTCGTTGTCGGACAAACTCCGAGCAAATAAATTTCACGGCTCAACGATTAAATCTGACCGTAAAATACACTCGCGCCGTCTCGACGCGTTTCGTAATGAAATTCTTGCCTTCGATTCGCAGCTAATGCGTCCTGCTTTTTTACGACACCGTCAGAAGATTCCGAGAATGACAAGGCAGGTGTTCCGCGAAGGGAGCATCCTGGAAGGGCAGAGAAGCTGCTAGAGGTGGAGCTCTAACGATTCACAAATTCTTTCGTGAAGCGTGAAACAAAATGCCGTCGACGCCTGAAAATGCCGCGCATTCGCATTCCCGGCATATCCAGCTTTCCCTCTTTTCCGTTTCCTTCGTCTTTCTACCGACGACCTTTCCACGCTCCACCCCTTTATACACCTCCGTAGTTACCCCTCGATTTTCCGACGAACCGAGAATGCGAGGACGACTCTTTAAACCGAAATTGAATTTCGACGAAACGCGTGCCTCTCTAATTCGAATTGGACTATCCTCGAACCAGTTAGTTTCTCCGGACTAAAATTCTGACCGACCAAGATTTATTCGACCTTCGATTCCTTCGTCGTCGATCTACCGTGGAAAGGACGCAACGCCATGGCCAGGAATCGGAAGTGCGAAAGTCCGAAGAGTTACGAGCCGCGAAAGAAATTTATGGACCGTCAGGGAGCTGGGACACCTGTTCCCGCAACGCATGCTCGCGTTACCATCTGAAATATTTCCGTTGTTTATGAGCCGAGAAAACAGTGAATTTCGTCGGACACAACCGCGGAATTTCTCTCTTCTCTTTCCTAAGATTTCATTCGCTATCGAAACGGTGTCGTTGAATTTTACATCGGCGTACCAGTACTCTACGGCCAGAGAGACTTTTCAGGAGGTCAACCGTATCCTGGTTCTTACCTAGTTACTACCCGGTTAGACCACGACGATCTCGAGGGATGCGGACTCGGTGCGCGGAAAGATTATTCGGAGATTCAGGGGTTGAAAGTGTTGGTAATTTCCGTGAAAATTCTGTCTCTCTCGAGTCTTTAACGCCCATGGCCATTCGTTATCGCGTTAATCGACTGTTTAGCGATTTAAGCAACAACCAAAAGCAAAAAGAACCTTTCGATAGCTTAACTTTCCGGTAAGAAAATTTACACTCACAATAACGATCGAAAACGCGATTAATTATGCTTTCGGTTAATCGTTGAGCGAACGAAGGTGTTCGTTGAAGATCTCTATGCTATCGTTGTTCGCGTAGATTAAGCGGAACTTATTCCGCTCGACGCGTTCGAGTGGTGTATATCGTTCGGTGGACGAGAATCAAAAGCTCCGAAACGCGAACGAATCGCGACGGAATGACAACGTACGCGTCGACGTCCGATAATTTCCAACTTTTCCAATTATCGTATTTCAGGCTGATCGAGAAAGCAGGTCGACGCGAATAAAGCTGGGAAATGGCGTGTGTTCCGGCAACGTTGATGGCGCAGCTCGAAGCGCGCCTCGGAGCAGAAATAAGCACTCGCTGATCGCCGAAATCGCATCGGAGTCGAGAATCGACGGTGAAATTATCGAGAATTCGACAAGATTTCGAAAGAGCACGATGTCTTTTCTTCGTTCGGTTAATTAAGTTCTCGAGAACGGAACGTTTAACGATATTCGGGCATGTTCCAATTTTCATTGCGGATGGCACAGTTATCGCGACGCTGTTAAATGTTTCGATACAAAAGAAAAATCGTTTAAACACTCACCGATCAGCTTGCCGAATTGTGCAGGTGGCTTCCATTCCGGATAATGTCGTGGAAATCGCGCTCTCGACCAGTAAGTCCTTAAAGTGACTTTATACAGCGCCAGCTTATCCTGTTTGTCCTCTTTTTCCTGTCTATCCTGGGTGAACGATCCACATTGGGCGACCACGAACAACAGCCGTGTACCTAGCAGCGTTAACAGCAGAGTCGACCACTGCCATACTCCACGGAACATCTGAAACCATTCGTTCATTTTGCCGTCATTAACTAATTCTCTTCCTAACTTTCTTCGAGCTTCGCTTTTTCCCGCCATCGTACTTGGGATAAAAGTAATAAACGCGAAACGCGCGGAAGCACTGTTTCCTCCGTGTAAAACCGAGCTTTTCCTAAAATCACGAGGTAGTTCAATAATGAAGAGTTGGAAGCGCGGTATTGCTCGATGGACGGGGCACATTATACGGGCATGATTGCACGCGCATAGCAAGCGGGAACGCGATCGTATCGCGCAGCATGCGGCGCAACGCGTCGTGTTTACATATGCAGATTCGCGAGTGTGCTCAAAATTCAAATCGCATTCGAATCGCTTTCGATCGGTTGCCAGCGTTGTTCGTCGAAATTTCGCTACGATGTACGAGGTACGCGGCATTTTCTACCGAGTTAGGCGGTTCTCTAGATTTGCCGTTAATCCTGTCAAAGTCGAAGCCTTTGCTCTTGATTCTAATCTCGCTACGACTCGTTTGCGAGCACCGCTTTTCGTTTTCAACGCTTTAAGACCTTAACATGCTTTCGACGAAGTCACCCGTATTCCTCGCCACTCGGCGTACAATTACTAGATTCATCCCGAACGATCATTCCCTTAAAATACGCGATTTAGATATCAAACGCGTAGACACGGTTTAATTCGACGTTGAAATAGGTCGTGAAACAAAGATTCTCCGCATAAATAATGTTCGCGAACCGAGCAATTAACGATGTTTCCTACGACGCAAAAGAACGGACTAATTACGCCCCTCGCAGCGTGCGCTCGCCCATTGATTCGCGAAGACAATGCTTTTTGTTAGAAAAAGTAATCTAACCGAGTTTCAGCGACAACGGCAGAGAGAAAATTTTCGTGCCACGTTTGTTTGGACGATTAGCGAATATCGATGAAACGCTCGTCCACGAAATCGAATCTGTGTTTCGTTATGCAAAGGAGCATACGTTTACAGAGAAAACTTATAACCCATCCTTTCGCGATCACCACGGTGTCAATTAAAAACGCCGTATATTTGGCGAAATAACCTGGTTCCTCTTTTTTGCGCAGGAATATTCGCGATACGTCGTTTCAAAGCAATGTTTGAACGTTCGTGGAACTGAAAACGTGCTCCGGAATATTTCGAATACCCGATGTCAGAAACACGTTCGAACGTTAACCGATGCTGGAGGCACGCTGGAAAATATACGCGACTGGCCCGGAGATTCGCAAGCTTCGATTCGCGGTCGAATATTTGCGAAGCGGTCCGACTAAAACCGTATTTGAAATATCCTGAAATAATAGAACGATCGTGGAATATTTTTAGAAGCTATTGCCTCGCAAAACGTGATCATCTCTATATCTATTGTTCAAGCGTACCTACATCCGAATACAGCGTTGGAAAATTGAAGTAAAAATATCCTTTTAATACAAACATGCTCTTAAGATCATATAAGCTGTAGGTACTTAGCTCCGCGTGTAGTGGTAACGATTAAGCGATCTCGAACGAAAGACTTTCTTTGCATTCGATTAAAAATATATTCGCGAATGTAACGGTACTCGACCAATTAAATGCTACACGAAATTTGCTGTTGGTCGAAAATCAAAAGCTGATAAACGAACATGGGAAGCCAGAAAAAAACATCGTTCTATGTTTACCGGTATTATTACCGAGGTAAAATGAAAAAGCGAATCGATAGAGTACAATTTGTGCACGAGTACGGTGTCCTCGTGGTTGAATGATTGAAAAATGCATATCTCGCTGTGTTTGCGCTACACTCGCCAAACTTTTCCAATCTCCTATGTTACGACACGTTGATTAAGCTTCGTAATCGAATCGTGATTAAATAACTCTCGTACAGTCTTCGACCGGATGAAACACGAAATTTCGCCTGCTCCATTTCCGTCATAGTTTGTTCGTCGATCGAAGAAATTCGAGAACCGTGTAATTACTTACGTATTAATTTCCTTGAAACATAACTAGCTAGTTCTTCCGACGCGTGCAGCAATAATTGCTTTCAGCGTTTTCTGAAACTACGTTGCACTCATCGAGTTTCGAGCGTATTCCCTGTTATCGAAAATATTTATGGAAACGCTAATTACCGTAGCTAATGACGGAACAAAAGCAATATTGCTGTTCCCACAGGACTGAAAACTGACCGCGAATTTCCATATGGCGGTAAAAATTCAACGATAAATCGAATTAAAACCCCCATACATTTCATATAGCGGTTCGTTGATTAAATAGAAAATAAACACTGTTTCTGCTCGCTTTCGATTCATTTTTATAAACGAATTATGAACTTTATCAGACATCGATGTACAGATGACTGCGCCCGAAGAGGCAAAAATCGATACATTTATTTGGACATTGTCTTAGCCGTAGCGTTACGCGCGAGTTTCGGAAATACGAGGATACAGAGAGCTTACACAGATTCTAAGACGTACAGTCGAGGATTTCGAGTTTTCGCTTTTCAGCGAATTCTACCGAAGTCAGTACATTTTTCACGTACAGTTCAGCAGCAGCCAGTATATTATTCATAGAGCAGGAAACATTTTCGCGCGAAAATAGACGAAAGCAAGAGACACACGAGGTTATTTCACCGTATCTCGTTTACTGTCACCGGTGGGAGAGGTTTCCACGGATCCACCAACTCGTGGCAACGAGCCACCTAACTGAAAACTACTCTCCCCTTTCATTCTCTTCTTTTTCTCTTTTTTACACTCTCACCTTTCCTTTTTCTTTTTTCGCGTTACGTTTCATTGCGTTTCATTACCCTCTCTCGCTGGAATATCTCGCAAGCGCGAACCTCGCTGTTACGAGTCGAGTTTCGCTTACGTGTCGGATCGTTTGTCTTTCGGAGCGCCGTTGACCCAATTTCTACCCTTAACTTACGTCGAACAAGAACGTGGAAGGGAACATGCTCGAAAAGTTCGCCACGAAAACAGCTCTCTCGAATTTATCATCGGACCTTTGTTCGATTCGGTAAAGCTTTCGGTTACGAATAACCGGAAGTACGATTTCGTTCAACGTCTCATCGGTTTTATCGCCCGTGCACGACTCGATTGTTTTTCACGATTTCGCGATTGAAAAATTGCTTCTTGCCTTGAAAAAAGTATTGAACCGACAAATGTGTCTGCTCTACGAACTCGTTTTCGAAATCTTTCACGTTCAATCTCAACGAACAGGTGCAATAAAGCGAATCGTAAGTAGTCGAAAGACAACCGTCTTCGACTGTACTATTTGAAATTAATTTTGCGCGAAACGACAAATATTTAAGCTTGCTTCGATTCTGTCGAAAGAAGAAATATAGCTATGGGAAGTATTCATAAAACGTTATTACTTGCTACAAACGGAAGCATGCTCGAGAACGAGGATATGAAGTAGCTCCGAAAAATGAAAATGTTATCGCAGATATGTTGAAAGTATGCTTGATCGTAAAAGTCGGTGATCTCGAATAAAAAATCGATTGAATTTGTTAAAATTTACTTGTCTCGTAGAAGCAACGTAGGGTCTTTCTATTTTTTAGTAACAGAGATTGCTTCGTATTTCCCGTGTGAAAGCACCGATACAATAACGATAATCTCGTGGATAGGTATCTCGCTAACAGGATAATTCTTTTTTACTTCCGTAACGAGCAACACGTGGAAAAATTCCTTTCTTCCCTCTCCGCGTTACCGACGGTCATAGAAATCGTCCCTATAGCAATCGAAAACTAATCCCGCGATTAATCGTGTAAATCGACGTGGGACGGTCGCGTGTGCACGCGATACCCGTGCAAATGACCCCTTCGCCAGCATGGTCTCGTCGTTCAGAATTTTCTAGTAAGCAACAAGTTGTCGTGAACGCGATTACTTGTTGGCACGTAAATAATGAAAAGCAACGAGCCGCTTTCTCGTTCTCTTTCTCTTTGGCGGAGATTTTACACGAATTTAAACGGCCAGTTCTGTTCCAAGCTACGCTACCGAGCCTTTACACGCGTGCGGACTTCCGGGACGAGCGTTCTCGTTCCACCGACGAATAAAACTAAAAATTCTGGCACCATTCTGTCGGCCATAAAACGATCGGTGCTACGTGTACTCGTACGTAAACCGGGGACAATATTTCACGCGGCTGGCCGCAATCTTTTGCGTGGCTAAGCCACCGCTGATTTACGCCTTTCCTCCAAGAATCATCGCCACTAAAACGAACAAAGCATTTTTCTACTTGCATAAACCGTCACTCGCCAAATTCTTTCGATCGCTCTTTCGACTCGATCTTTAACGCGTTAGCTATCGAGGTGATAAAGGGATTACGTTAATACCCTATCGCACAAAACTGTAACAAAATAGAATTTACGATATCTAGTTTCTGCTGTAATTTCTCTATGGTGCAATAAATTGAAATATTTATTACTATTTTGGGACGTGAGCGACTGAAAATTAGATATCCGCTAATGGGCAATACTGAACGATAAACTGGTTGGCCCGTTGTGTGTTTTAACGGGAAACCAACCATTCTGTGTTAGGAATATTGATGAAACGTTTATACCTCGAGCTTTAAGCTACAAATTTATGTATCACAAGTTCTATTAACTTTTAGTTTGGTATAGCGTAAGTACCATTTTGCGATACCTTTATGTCGCGAAATTGCATCTGACTTTCCACGTTTCAAAATTAGCGATCCAATACTCGAATTGTCCGACTTTGAAATTTTTAACTCGGTGGAAAAATGAAAATTTAATTGGTTTATAGAAGTCGAGATCCCACATTTCGCGCAGTGCATAAAGCAAATTAAAATCCCAAAAACTCGATTTTCGACTGCAAACGTTTAAAGGATGTTCGAATAAAACGTGGAAAAAGTTTGCCGTTTAAGACGGTCGAAGCAGGATTTACGAACGAGAAGAGAATAACCAACCCCTTGCAATCTTGTACAGTAGAGGTAATAATAAAGTGAGGCGATGGCGCGAGATTGAAAGACGGAAGTAAGAGAAACAGAGCAAGTTGTCCGTGGCTTCTTTGGATATTCAATTTCAATAGGATTCCTTGAGAGCTTCATCTCTGAAATCCGTTAGAAAAGTTCGCGTATCGACGAGATCGATCGCTGTAACGCGAATCAAGAGTCAGTTTTCGAGAGCACGTGTACCGCAAATCGTTAACCTTCTCTCCTGCGTTCGTTTCTCATCGTTTGTTGCTCGCCGAGAAACACGTACCTTCGAGTATTTAAACTCGAATTACTCGACTAATTTAGTACCGTGCGCTGCTTTAAACGTTACCGCATAATGTCTGAGGAGTACGGAAGTGATATTCTCTGATCTACGCGACGACTGGCACAGTAGAAATAGCCATAGGTAGTAAGACACGCTACAATACGAACCGCGAAAGACGTTGACAACTAAATTTATATTTTAACGCGTCGTAGTTCGTTATTAATGCAATTTCGGTGGTATTGTCCTCTCGTTAATTTTTAATCATTCCATTAAACTAGATAGGTACGTGTTGAATAATACAACAGAGGTACAGTCAAATAATTGATAATGTTCCATTGACTGGAACAGTATAAATAGCCGAAATCGTGCATTAAGAATCGTATCAAACTTTTTAAATAACAATGATATTCAGACTCGATATTAATTAACGCAGGAAAAATGGACAAACACGTTAGAATAAGTGAGAAGTAGGAGGAGGAAAGGAAAGGACAGCAACGATTAATTAATACATTTGCGATATAATGGTGAAATGCTAACGAGAGCAGCAACGAAGCGTTACATTTTGCGAATATAATTTCCACGAGTAAAATAATTGATTGGAAATCGATTAATAATCATGTTAACATGAAATTCGATGCAACGACGAAAAATTAGAGTATCGTTTTATCGATGAACACCGATTAAGATTACAAGCGAACGCGTCTCTAATTTTCTAGTTTCTCCTATTAATTGATCGATGTGCGAGACGTATTAATTACAACGTCGACCAAACGTCTGTAACGGGTTGCTAAAATGTCTGTCTCTGGGTCATGAATTCGGTATTCGATTCTGAACTTGATTGACAGAATTACAACGATCAATTATAAGGATTGATCTGTGGTTTGCTTCAATATCAAATTACTCTAATGGACGAATATCGATGCCTTCGTGTTTTAGGATAAATCGTGAATAAGTTAAAACGCGACAAATTTAAATAAGACCAGTTTTCTGTATTCCTCCGCGCACGATAATTCAGCGAAACATATTATTAGGAGAACTTTCAACGTTTCGTCGATACGTTTATCTGACGCATCGACACGATTATTGTCCCAGCTCCGTTTTACCGCTAAATACGAAAACTCGTTAATCATATTGGTCGTGCGCGATCGGCAGTTAATTTAACTTTTCGGTAGACAATCGAGAGTATCGAGCGAAAGGGGGTTTCAAATTCGTGTATTTATCCTCGCGTTCGGCGACACTGAAACGCGTTAAGAGCTCGAAAACTGGAGCAATTACATGTACGGGAACGCGAATAAATTATTGCGAGAGCAAACTTTCGTATTCTGAGTTTCGCGGGCCACGGAAAATCGAGGATAAAAATAAAAGGAAGAGCAACGTTGTTCGAAGCGCAGCTGCGAGCAATTAACGCGACTCTACGAGGAGAATGTAGCGCGTTTAAAGTCGAAATTGAAAATTGAAATTGTCGCGTCGTTAACGGTTCGCTTTTAACCTGTCCCCTGCGCTACTGCTCTTTGAATTTGACACGAGCATCGTTAACTTCGTGACGATAATGCAATAAACTATCTAACCGTGCGGTCTATTGACAGAGCCACGCACGTATGGCCGTTCAATTCGACCGTAATTGTTCCGGGTTACAAGTGTCCGCTAGCAAATCCACAAATGTACCACAGAGAATGGTCCAACTCTTCCGTCAACCGCTCGTGTTTCGTCTGACGATATCCATTTCCAACTGTATGCTTTTTTTCTTGGTTACTCCGCTTTCTCTCGTCGGTTAATGCTTCGCTTTTTTACAAGTTTTAACGTTACATGAAACGACTCTGTATCGTGGAAAAAATTACGACCCCATAAAGTCTAGTATATACCAGCTTTTACTCCTACCTACGCGTAACCTCGACTTTAATCCGCGTGATTTCCTACTATACGGCTCGAGTAATTCGCAAAAAAGCACGGATTTTTCGTGATTACGAGGTGGAACAGGAAGCAGACACTTGTTTGTCGCGATATGAAACACGACTCGACCCACCGATCACGGTTCACCGCAATCTGGTACGCCTTCTGGAACGTTTGTTTACACACCCTTAGTTGAAATTGCACGAACGCCTCGAACCTATTTGCACGGAAGTAGCTGAAAGCGTGCGCGAATCAACCCGAACGAAAACAATGTTCCGACTAACGTTACAAACGATCAACATTCTCGCGTAAATCATCTTACGATAAATCGTCTTACCTTACTCGCGATGCTGGGTCACTCCCTCTTTCTCTCCTCTCGGGAAGGGTGAGTTGTAGCAGCGGAATAAAGTGGATCGAACACACCTCACATATCACACACAGACGTTACGAATATTTCTAGCGATAATCGAAAGTTTTGCACGCGAACTAGCGGAAATTATTACGCGAGATCGTTTGACCGCGAATTTCACGAGTTTCGAACGCGTGACGAAACGCGGCAGGCGGTGTACGGACACGGCACGCGCACGAATTTCGTCGGAAACAAACAACGGGAGCGAAAGAGGATGGAGATTCTCACGTTTCTCGACGCGTTTCACGCACAAATTACGGATAGCATCGAACGCGACACTCTTGACTCGAGGGTTACCGCGATACTGCGAGAACCGCGCCACGGCGCGCCTGACCGTACATCGCGCCGCTTTTCTGCGCATTCGCTCGCGGTATCGCGCTGCGATTGGTCGACGCGTTCGCGCCGCGTTGCGTTAGTGGTTCGTTCAAAACAGCGCACGCGCTTTGCTCCTCGTTGAAACAGCACGGTGTCGCTCGTTTGAATAAATCACATGCAATTTCTTCTTCCCTTTTTTTTCAAAAAGAAACAACTGTTGGATTAACGATTCATGTTGCTACACGAAGGATACGTTTTTTTTCCGTGCCTACGATGCTGCTAAAGAACGTAAACCACGCGTACTATATACGAAATGAAATTGCGACTTTCTGCGGTAATTGTAAATGTTTCTATAATGGCGCGTTGGTACATTTTGGAGTGTAATTTCCCAGACACAATTATAGCACTAGTTGCAGCTGTACCGCTTTATGTCTAATACCGTTATGGTACTGGTACAACCAATTTAAGTATTCTCTTTGCCCAATATACAGTCTCGGTACGCGATTCAACCGAATATAAATGAAGCAGAATTTCTCACTTTCTCCTACACTTATTTAATATTCGGTTGATAATTCGGTTGATAATTCGGTGACGCGTCATGTACGATTGTCACGTTCGTCTCCATAGAAATAGCAAGATCGATGTTACGATACTCGTGGCTCGGATAAGGTGATAGAGTTGTTTAATGGAACACCGGGTTGTTTCGATCGTTTCGAGAGAGCCGCTTAGTTGAAATTACCAAACTCGACGTAGATGAGTTGCAAGAAAACGAAGACTGGACGGAGTACGGCATAGAACACGTAACTTTGATTTGCGAGTGTTTCGTGATAGTACTCGATGATAATGTATCCTAACGACGATCGAGGCAACCAATTCGCTGTTTTGCACTCGATCGTAAGCATAATTTGCTCGATACGCGACTTTGAACCGTGCAGATGCTCTTGGCCAATGGAAAAGCAAACTTTTTCATCCACGCGATGTCATTTTTTCTTTCCTTCCTTGCCTCCTTTTCTATTCTACTTTCAACAAGAATCGGCCATTCGAGGCAGCCTCATTAATTCCTTTCTTGCTTTCGAAAAAAGAACAAACTTGTATAAAACGGCTCGTGTCCTCTACCTGTTTCTTCCCCGTTATCCATCCGTTGGTCCCTCTCATTTTTCATTCGTCGCATGGAGAAAAGTGCACTTTAGCCGTCTCTCACCTGTAGACAAAGATACAAAGGAATATTTCGTGCGTCTGCGAATATCACGTAGCTGGGCCACGGGAATATTTCATACGGTGCCATGAGTGCATGTCATTGCTCTCGCATACGTGTTTGTAGCCTGTCCGGACACACGGGACGTTTTATCTACCCATATGGAGTTGCATACGTACGCGGAACCGGTGGAATGCACGACCCAACCGATGGGAATTGATGCACTTACTTTATGCAGAGGTTTCTCGATAATTTGTAGCGTTCACGAACTACGAGATTCAAACGAATCGCGATCTCCTCCTGGATACGACATCCGACAATGTAGCTGTCCCCATTATACCACGATTTATTTATTCGCGCGATATTCGCTGAATTCTGTTTGCAAAGAAAATATGCAAGTAAAATCTGGCGAACGTTCGAGAGGAATCCTCTTTGGTATCCAAGAATGCCCTGTCCAACGACGAGGGGTCTCAAGAAAGGGTACCATTTGCCGAAACGTTGTCGCATCAGAATAAACAACGCTTTCGCGTAACAACGTCTGCGTTGGTAATTCCAGAAACGATAACACGCAAAACGTTCGCTGGAAGCACGACTACTAACGAGATCCGGGAAAATATAATTATTTGAGCAAGCCAACGTACTCTCTGTCCCTCCTTTCGTATCGAACACCTCTCGCCCGATATACCTTCGTTCTAATTATTTACGAACGTGTCTCGTTCGTTGCAATGTGCGCGTGTAATTAAACGCAACGACGCTGAATAGAAACTCGCTAGACGACACGACTTGATTTAATCGTGGAACGAACACCGCGCGAATGGGCATACTTTCTCGTTGTTTCTTCCGGTGTAATTTAACACAGCGATAATAACTGGTTAAACGTAGATCAATCACCGATGAAAATGCCCCGAAATCGTTTCGAAGAAACAAACGAAAACGGATCGCTTACCTTGAACGAATAAGCACCATTTTTCAATCACGGGGATGCATTTTCGTCGCTTCTTTTTTGCGATATTCCCGCGTTTTCCATCGCAAATGAACCGAACACGATCATTCGGAGACAGATTACCGCAGCTACGGAGCAAACTTTATCACCTGATCGGATGATGGGCGCTTCATCGAATTCCATCGAGATGATGGATTATCTGTTTCGAAACACGAAATTCATCTTGAGCCGGTATCTCGTGGCACGCGATGAATTATCGATACGCTTTGAGACATACTTGGTTGTATCTTGGTGCTCGTCGGTGATAGATGGGCCTATCTCGCGAACGATATACTCGGAAACTCGACGATCCAACAATCAACAGGAGCAACAAAGTAACTTATACGACGACGAATACGCTCGTTTGATCTCGATCGTTTTAACTCGACAGCGATCGTTGCCGTTCACCCGTTTCCCACCGCTTACGAATATGAAGTTTCATGGAAAGTCCTCGTACCAGAAGATTCCGTGCTCGTTCTGCATCTAGATTACTCTATATCCGATGATAGCCGGTTGCGTCTCAAAAGCTCGATCGTAGCCTACGGTATCTCTTCGTGTTCGATGGAAGACCATAAGCGATACGAAGCTCGTGCTCAGACAGTTTTTACGGGTGAATCGACTTGAGCGATATACTGGCTATCGAGTCCGAAACTCGTCGGAATTTCGTGAAATTAAAACGTTTTATTGTTTCCACGACGCTGTTGAACAGGATGCACTGCACGACGAATATTGCGCCACAAATCGTCTCCTTTCCCCCGGGGGAACCACCGTTATAACCGTCTGGGAACGAAGCTTCGCCAAAATTCGTTCGCGTAATGCCACTCCGTGAAACTTTTCGAGATGAACTGCGCGATTGCTCGTCATTATCCCGGTCGCTGATCAATGACATTTTTCGAAATATGCGTATAAAACGATGACGGAGCAACTGAGAGCTTCCTCCATATTCCAGACATTTCAGGTGTATCTCGTCTCCTAGACTTTATCAAGATTGTCCCTTACTTTCGGTGCAACAAGAGAATATCCACCATCACGGTAATCCCGGTTCGTTGTCCCCTTATTATCAAAGCCAGGACACGACGGTTTCACTGATGAAATTACACAGCCGCCTTTCTACGCGCGCACCCATAAGTTTCTTCCGCGCAATTGGTCGTTTCGCATTACATCCCCGTTTCCGTCCAGTCACCCGTCTTCTTTTCCAGCAGCCACCTGCAGACATTCCCCTTCGACCTCCTTCTCTCTCCGCTTTCACTTCGAAGGGAAGAAAGTCAATGTCAATGGTCCTATCTTTGCTCCTTTCTTTCTTCGACCCTCCTGATCGTCGACTTCTCGAACCGCCGCGAAACCGTGCCTATCTTCCAAGACCTTCTAAGGATTATGACGAAGATCTAACGAGAGAGCGTCGTGGCAGAATCACGCTTTGGGAAGACGCTCGATGAACTCGTTTTTCTGCCTCGAGGATCATGTTCGCACGGTTGACTTCATAAATCGCTTTATCGGGACATTACTCGATCGAAAATAGATTAACCAGAGACGAATTAGGAAAATTTCCAAAGGAGGAGTGTAGGCGCTTAAAACTTGTTTCCTCTCTACACCTATGGCGCACATAACCGCGATCCCTAATTGCTCTGATGTACGGATACGATTGTTCGCGAGTCACCGTGCAAGTAGACCGACAGGAAGCATTTACTTGTTATATCTTGCACGGTTTTTAACGACTAGCTTTTAATAGCACTTAACCCCTGTTAACGCACGAGTGCCTTCGAGCGTATCGACGTGTTCCTTTGTTATACGCCGGGTTAACGATTCCATCGAGCTGATTCCGACGAACGGCGCGTCGCCGTGTTATGTTGTTACGCGTTTACCGGTCATCCATCGCCCGCGACATCGATGATTAATCGGCAGCGATTGATCGGTTAAATTGTCTACCTAATTACCCGACCGCTTATCGGTGGACTTTTATTTTTTGGATGCATCGAAGCGACGTGTCGTTGCTGAATCGTGAACAGCTGCTGATAAACAGCTAATGTTCGATCGATGAAAAATTAATAACCAAATTAACAAATTTGCGAGCAACGGTTCATTAACAGACCTTGCGTTGACGATAACCGATACGTTGGTTGCGTGTAAATTTTCTATGAATGAAAAATAATCGAGAAAATCTGCTATCCTTGTATACAAAAGGCAAAGGAGTACATCCGGGGCGAACCTCCGAGCTATCTCGTTCACCAGATAAATTTCATCCCGCGAGATAGCGAATTTTCCATGGAAAATCGATTGATAAGAAGGTTTTGCAAGAAAGCGTCCTCGAGTTGGAAAAAATGGCTCGAATGCGAGGGAAATTTCAAGGCGCAAAAAGCCGTTTTACGGACGGTGGGAGTTAATATCGGTATCCCTTAAAATCGAGACTATCTCGGTTGAAGCGCGACCGATTTCCCCTGCATTTCCCGACTATAGGTTTGCGCGGCATCGCATCGACCGTGCGCATAAGACGATCGAGGCCGGCGATCGCGTTCTTTCTCGCATCGAGATTGAATTCGTCGAGGCAAACTCTATTCGGATCCCCTCTACGACCCACCTACGCGATCTAACCCCGATCGAAAGGGTCGTGACCTCTTCTTTTACCTCGTCTACCTTCCCTGCTCTTCTCGGTACCAACGCGATCCTTATTCTCGCTTTTATCAACCCTCGTCCAACTTCTTCCGAATGTGCAACAGTCTTTCTTCGTTCGACGGCTGCTACAAATAATTCTTCGAAAATTTTCGTTCTTTTTCTTCGTAATTTTACCGAGATTCG